AATAGGGATTGTAACATTTATTTGCAACAAAATTAAACTTTTACCTTATCTTATACTTATGTAAGGTGGTTGAAATTATCGTATTTTTATTTTTATTTTTTCATTTATTTATTTGGTTCATCAACAAATGTTACACTAATACGTTTGATTAATTCTAAGACAGTGATATAAACTAAGTGCACATTCAATAATAGGTAAACATCGCATGCTTAGTGCTCACAGCATTTCCTACAAGCCTTTACATAATAGCTAAAAATATACAATACACAATTACAAAAAAGAATTAAATTAATACAAAAAAAAAAATTAGGTACTACAAAGAAATATTAATAGTTTGATAAATTTTGTATCGAAAAACATTAAAAGAGTCGTGGTGAATATCTACTACATTATTATAATTATTTAAAAGTCTGCAGTCTGGGTATTGGGGAATTAGATCCTAGTACAGTTTTACGAAGGGGCGGCGAAAGAGGAGTAATGTGCTTACGAAAATTAAATTTTCTTAGTAATAAAGGACAGTCCAACTTATTTCTAAATATTTTATATAAAAGTTGAAAATCCAGAATATCCCGGCGTTTAGATAGTGAGACCATTTTAAACGACTTTAATCTGTCAAAATATGATTCATTTTTATACGATTTTCGTGTTGAAAAGGCAAGATGCCATAAAAATCTTTTTTGTATTCGCTCAAGCCGTAGGGTATGAGTAGAATAATGGGGACGCCAGACTGTGCTACAATATTCTATTATACTTCTAACAATTGAGAAGTATAAAAGTTTTTTTTGTGGTAACATTACGGAATTCTTTATTGTTTCTTATAAGAAAACCTAATGATAGAGATGATCTTTTAATAACACTTTCTAGTTGTGGTATAAATGTAAGCTTTTTATCGAATACTACACCAAAGTCCTTAACAGTTTCCACTTCTTGGATAACTACTCTATTCAGGGTATAAACCGATGGAAAAATATTATTTTTTGCGCGTGAATTTAACGTGTACACATTTTTTAGATTAAGATTCATTCCATTAAGATCGCACCATTTAGAAAGTCTAATTAAATCCTCCTGAAGAAGTATCATGTCTGATATTAAATAAATTATTTGTCATGAAATCTTTTGAAGTGTTATTTTTAGTGTTCTCTCTACAAAGTGATATTTTTAAATCATAGATGTAACAAATAAATATAGTAAAATGTAAAATATTATTTTATTTAGGTAACAATATCATAATAAAAAACTCCTAAATAATAAATATTCCTGATACTCTTCAGTCTGCAATGTTTATTCGATTGGCCTGTTTATTCGGATCATTCGGGATTCAGTCGGTTTTCGGCTCATTCACGATTCATAAAAATCGTGGGTTATAAAGGTACCGTCAATTGTTTGCGATCGGTTGTACTGGTACATTCCAAAACAAATAAATGAACCATCAATACTTTTAAGTGTACCAGCTCAAACGAACGAATTATGCATAATTGACACATGTCTACGCCCCACTTTTCGTAACGCTTTCGTCACGCGATCGCCAGCATACTCCCCGAGTCAAGCGTGCGTAAAGAAGTTTTACTTCAAAATTTGTTTGAGTGAAACAAATTTGTTTTTAATTTCAAATGGAAAATACATCGGCTAAACCCGTCTCAACTTGAACTTCTCACTCGAGTCGGTACAGGCACGGAATAAATAATAGTACTACGTAAAATGTCGACTGCTTACCGACGTTTAATAGCCTACATAATTATTATTAATCAGATAAATCGCACACGCAAGCTAAATAAAACTTTATCGCCGTGCGCTAGTGTCCATATTACTTTGCATCTTTTTTGTCACAGCGGACTTTCCGTGGTTATTAATGTATGTCAATAGAAAGTAAAAAAATACATTGCGAAATGTTAATTATGTTACTTAGGTGAAGTACTAACTAATATTCTGACTATGATTGATTAACCATACTTTCGCCCATATGTGAGTTCTGCGATGCCTAACGCATGCAAATTGCAGGGTCATTCGTCGGGAATCGTAACGCTTGGGAGAAATTGGTAGATAGTGTAAACAACAAATAAACCTGAAATACGATTTCTAACAGAAATGTGATCTATTCTATTTAGTTAAAAATCTTGTTAGTATACAAAGTTTTAATTTCAATATTTTGTGTTATAATAACTCAAAATATTTTAATTATAAAAGACAAGTATAGGTATTCTGTAAGTAAATACTTACAGAATACCTACACTCTGCCGCAGCTATTAGTGTTCCCTTGTGTCTTATATTTAACCAATGTCTTAGTGAAGGGACTGTGCCCCAGATATGGAAGAACGCTAATATAACACCAGTTTATAAGAGTGGGTGCAAAAACGACGTTTCTAACTACCGCCCTATATCTTTGCTATCAACCATACCGAAGGTTCTTGAGAGGTTAATACATAAGCAAATTTATCCTATATTACATAACATAATTATACCTGAACAACATGGATTCGTAAAACAGCGATCGACAACAACTAACCTTGTTCTTTACACAAATTATCTTTTTCGCTGCATGGATAACCGTCTGCAAGTAGATGCAATTTACACTGATTACTCTAAGGATTTTGATAAGGTTGATCATAATATACTTTTAGCGAAATTAGCGTTTAATGGAATACGAGAAAACTTGTTAAGATGGTTTTCATCATACGTTCTAAACAGATCTCAACGGGTTGTGATTAATGGTTTCTCATCCAATATCATAAATATCAGCTCAGGCGTACCGCAAGGTTCTATTCTTGGGCCTTTGCTTTTTATATTATTTGTAAACGATATCGGTGATTGTTTCCGTTTTACTAACTTTCTCCTTTACGCCGATGACCTTAAAATTTATCACAGTGTCAAAAGTGTCAAAGTTGTGACAAAATACAACAAGACCTAAATCGCTTTGAAGGCTACTGTATAAAAAATAAACTTCACTTAAGTACATCAAAATGCAAACATATCACTTTCACAAAAAAAAAATTAACATTATTAAATACACTTATAAACTAAACTGTGTTTCGTTGGAATCGGTATCTTTAATCAGGGATCTAGGATTGTATTTAGACTCTAAACTACACTTTGATGAACACGTAACGCACATAACCAATAAAGCCTTTCAGCTTTATGGTTTTGTTATGCGGAAATGTTCTTCCTTCAAACATCCCACCACATTTTTAACTTTATATAAATCTCTAATAAGATCACAGGTTGAATATGCATCAGTTATATGGAGTCCAATATATAGTAAATATAGTTTACAGTTGGAGCGTGTTCAACGAAAATTTTTAAAATCTACAATGTACAAATGCTTTAAAAGTAATTATAATGAATGTTATGAACTTTTATTAAGAAAATTTAATGTTCTTTCTTTAGAATCGAGAAGGATGCTCTTGGATCAAACTTTGCTTTACAAAATCTGCCATTCGTTATGGCTTTGTTTCGTTTTTGCTTTTATTGATTGTAATGAACTCACCAATCAAATATACATTCGTATACCTAGTCGCTCGAATCGTATACGTGATCTACATTCACATCAAATTTTCGCTCCAAAACCAAGTAAAACAAATGCAGGTGCACGTGCACCTATAAATCGTATAATGGAATTACACAACAACAAATTTAATGACATAGATATCTTTGGATTAACTTCTTCTAGATATAAAAAAGCTGTGTATGAGGTTCTATCTGAATTTGATGCAAGTTAATGTAATTGCTTAATTAGGTTAAATTTAATTTTTCACATCTGTGTATTATCTATATATGTGTATGTGCGTGTATGAATATGTTTGTATATATGTGTGTATGTATATGCGTGCACATGTACATGCATATGTGTAAATTAGCTTGTTTTTCTCTGTATTTATTGGTGAACGGGTCGTTTTTAATAGAACATTATATTTTAATTTTTAATTGTTACGTACATAGACCCAGTGGTAATATGTGGATAACGGTGTTGATTGTATGATTATTAAGCTTAAATATAGTATTGTGTTTAATAATAAGATTATATTGTACAATTGTTTGTTATTCCTAACAAAAGAAAAAAAATACTTGGATAGTGAAGTAAATTTTAACTAATTTTTGTAATGAAGTACCTACTTAGGCATTTCTTCTGTAGACCAAATTATTACTTAATTCTTTTTTGCTGTGAATACCTATCTAACAAAAAAATTAAATAAATTCACCTTTCATAACTTCCTTATAAAATTCTTCGGTAACTTAAAGAATGATATGAAACTTTTTGTTGGTTATTTCATTTAGTATCCATCTAAGCAACAGTTATAGTAGTAACGACGTTTTGCTATTATAATTTATCAAATAGGTAATATACATATTATATAATTTTTAAAATACATTAAATCTTTTACAACTATTTTTACCTACAATTAAAATATACTAAACACTAAACAAAAACTATTTCAACAAGTATTTACATAAAACTATTTACATAAACAGCGTTAAAAAAAACTCTAACATTCAATTGCCTCCAACGCGCTAGCCCTGACTGCGTTATTTCGCCCGGGCTCGTAGCGATTTTAGGTAATTACAACGACGCATTATTTTGCACACCGTACATTGACAATTACGTCATCGGCCCAGGTCTCAAGTTAATTCGTACGAGTTATATATCACGCAGGTAGCAAGAGTGATAGAGGCCCGGTACAGGCCCCCGTGTTGTCCGAGTCATTCGAAATCTCGAGTCACTCGTAATTCGAGTGGCCATAAATATTACTCGAGTGCGAGTTAAATAAAAATTAGGTGCCCGAGTGACTCAAATGAAACACGGCTCGAGTCTCATCACTAGACGTTTTTATCTTCATTTGTTGTCAATTGTCATAGCTTTTTGTTTGTTCCGTTCCGATGTAATATATGATCATTACCTAATAACATCAAATAGTGTTCTGAGCATCAAATGTAGCATTAAGAAAGACTGGCGACATTTAAGCTGTTTCTGCGACAGTGATTTGTTACGGAACAACAAAATTATCAATATGACCGAGACGCGTCGCCTTCAACTTCATCTCGGAAAATGCATCGAAGATTTAGACAAATTATACAATGTCCCAGACTTAAAAACAAAAAGGGCTACGTTGTGAGTAGATCAAAATGTGCAAGCCTATGAAATCATACAAAAAAAAGAGTGTACTGTATTATAAAGTTTTAATATTAATTACAGGTTATGCAAAACTGCACAAAAACTGTTTGAGAAAGCTGAGGAGGAAAGGGACAGAGGCGATGAGGAAAATTCGTACGTTTATTACATGAAATACCTCCGAGTTGTAGCATTCATCAGCAAGGATAAGGAATATTTGAAGGACAAAACTTACTTTAATAATATGCTTGGTGCTAAAAATCCAAACAAAGCCATTGATGCTGCTGAAAAACTAAAGAATAGCTTAATCGATAGGTATGAATTTTAAGTAACTTTTTAACTATTGCACCAATAAAATGATTTATTGCAATTTTAACTGCTGATTTACCATGTTCTTGGTGGTGAAGGAAAACATTGTAAGGAAATCTCCATGTCTGAGAAATAAGAAAAAGAAATATTTCAAAGACATCTCAAGTTCACCAACATGCGTTGGGGTAGCGTGGCGGACAGTTAAACCCTCTCAAAAATGAGAGGAGGCCTGTGCACAGCAGTGGTACTTATAAAGGCTGTAACTTTAATGTTAAATTATAATTTACATATGATCCTATGTACATATATTATTATGATTTCTTATTTGTATGTGAACATTATGCATTACACTAAATTGTAGACAAATTATTATTATTACTTTATGTAAAATATATTAAAATACCTATTACTTTTATATCCTTGGGATGAGAATATTGTTACATTACAACTGTTTCATAACATTATAAGAGACATATACAATGTGAGCTTGATGTACAATGTGATATTGTTCATCTGCATTCTATATTATGATAAATCGGCATGAATATTTTATATAGTGCATTGGGGTAAGATCGGTGATGGGGTAAGACCGTAAAATTCAAATTCCCGGTGAATTATGCTATATTTTTGAAAGCTAGCAATATGGTACAAGATGCCATTTTATTCTGCCCCGACCCCAAGTTTCAGCCAGTCGCTCCGAAAAGTAGGGTGTGTGCTGCGCAGTATTTTATAAAACAAGGTAGTTTTTGTATTTTTTCGTCTTCCGGTCTTTCCCTATCACTTTTATTTGCGATTTTTAGCGACGTCCGGTCTTACCCCTTGACGGCCAATTCTTCATCTTGCATTTATAAAATTATGCCTTGTTTTCGCACATCTTTTAAGCAGAAACTGTTGAGTTATGAAAAGTAAAAGCTTCTTATAGCTAAATTACGTGTAACCATTAACAATTTGCGCCATGTTTCAGAAATCTGGCGTATATGGATGTCTAGAAAATAAAGTTTATGCCCGACTCTTTTAACTAGTTGAAAATCGTCTGGTATTACCCCAATGCACCTTATAGAAATTCCTAAAGTAACACACATGTATTACAGGTATGAGAAAGAACAGAAAGAAAAGCGGCTGCATGATATAAAAGAGAATGAGCTGATTAAACAGAAGATAGATGAAAACAGAAAGAAAGCTCTTGAATCTATTCCTGTCTATGAACAACCACAACCTTTGGGACTGCCTGGTTAGTGAAAATATTTTAATACTTTATTAATGCAGCATCTTCCTGCTATGAAGCAGTCTATGGGCGAGGCCTATGTACAGCAAATGAATTTTATAGGCTGTAATGGATGGAAGAATGGACAATAGTTAGAGTAAGGTATAGTAGCCTGTTGGTTCAGGATGCATAATGCAAACTCTAGAAAGTTGTGAGTTCAAATCTACCATTTGACTAAGCATTTTAAGCTTGCATGGAGTATGGAGTAGAGCCGTGGTAGCTCAGATGGTTAATGCTCGTAAATATAACAGAACGCTAGTAACCCGGGTTCAATCTACAAAAGACTAAAAAGATTGCTGATTTACCACATGCTCGGCGGTGAAGGAAAACATTGTGAGGAAACCTGCATGTCTGAGAAATAAAAAAAATATTTCGAAGACATGTGAAGTTCGCCAATACGCATTGGGGCAGCGTGGCAGACACTTCCTTGCCCTAAATCTCTTTCAAAAATGAGGGGAGGCCTGTGTCCAGCAGTGGGACATATATAGGCAGTAACTTTAGTTTTATGGAGTACTTAAAAGGATTATTTCTAATGTTAACAAAAGTTACTGGTGTTTGTTTATTTTAAATAATGGTTCTGATATATCCGTAATTTTTTTTTCTGCCTAGAGGTCTGTCTGTTTAAGTACCATCGTCTTACACTAATGAGTTCATGCACTGCTGCCTGGCAGCAGGCCAAGCAGCATTTTATAAACTACTGTATTCTGGTATAAAGGGTATAGACAGTCAGGAAAATTACGGGCTGAGAGGCACTCTGTTTTTGTTCTCAGTGGTGACAAGGTATCTGAAGCCATGTTCACTTAAAGTTGGTTCAAGGTGTCTACGGGCTGCAGTAGCACCATCAAGTTGTTAGTTTTTATGTTGTGTCCATTTTATAAAAACAATGCAAAGACAGGTGACCCCTTCATTTTATTTATTAGCCTGTAATACATAGTCTACTGCTCATTATCATTATAGGATGGATTATAATTTCAATGCATGGGAGGTGGCTTGGCATAGTAAGCATTTACCAAATATTTCACACCTTTGACATTAATCTCCGTCATCTATCATACAGTTATCACCAACAGAAATTGGTAATCATATTTATGTTGCAGGGCTAGATGAAGTGACAATAAAAAGTGAGCAATTGTATTCTATCCTGAAGAGTGGAAAATTGAAAGTCATGATCCTTGATGCACGTCCGGGTGATGATTACCTAGAATCCCACATAAATTATCCTGCGTGCATTAGCATACCTAAAGAGTGTATGTCACCTGGGTAAGGACTTTACTATTTATACTAAGTTACATCATTTTTTTTAACAGACTGTAAAGTTCCATTTAGGATACAATTTGTGGAGCAATATGTTATAATTAACTACTATCCATATGTTTGATGCAAGCCAAATGGTGATGCTGCCATTTATTGGAAGCCATTACATTTTTCTTGCATTTTCATAGTTACCTCTTAGGACACGAACAGGATGAAAAACTATAAATAAAGGAGTGATAGGTTCTCTTTTGCCACACAACCACTTAGTTATGTAGTGTAGAAATGTTGTATTTACAAATATTTGTCAATAGCTGAGCAACCATATGACTTTGAACAATTTACTACTATGTCGCAGGGGTGAGCTTAAAGAGATTTGTGCCAGAATACAAATTGTTTTATAGTCACTTTGTCTATGATCCCTTGATCGATTGACTAAAAAGATTGTTCCGTTGTGGTGCCAATGCTGTAAAGATAGCATAATATAAAGTGTAGAAATGTTGTATTTACAAATATTTGTCAATAGCTGAGCAACCATATGACTTTGAACAATTTACTACTATGTCGCAGGGGTGAGCTTAAAGAGATTTGTGCCAGAATACAAATTGTTTTATAGTCACTTTGTCTATGATCCCTTGATCGATTGACTAAAAAGATTGTTCCGTTGCGGTGCCAATGCTGTAAAGATAGCATAATATAAACAAAGTGGTGAATTTTTATTTTAACCGCCTCTGGTCTGATTGTTCAGTTTCTAATTCTCTAGGAAGTCCCAAAAAACGGATTTAAATCAAGAATGATTAATTAACAATGAAATGCTTGTGGGGAAGCAAAACATCGGGAAGAAACCTACGTCTCTGAGAAGTAAATTATTTTGAGTGTGACGTAACTAAACACAAAAAGAAAAATCACTAAACTAGACCAAGGTGGCTTTATGGTCCAAGTTATGAGCGAATGTATTATTATCAAGTCTTTGAGATAATCGTTTGTAACAGGCAGTCGGATACACTAACAGGCAGTGAGGAGGTCCCGAATTTTGGCATTGAACACTAATAGTATTAGTATGAAATCCACACAAGCAAAGCCGCGGGAAAATCTTGTTTAAAAATAATACTGTTTACATACAGAAAAAAAAATCTATATTGAACTGCAATTACATAGAACCTAATATGTGGTAATTTACAGGCAATCAGCTAATGCTCTGGAGCAGAATCTTCCAGCAGCTTCAAAATTAGTATGGGGAGAGCGTGCCACTATGGAACTGATTGTTATGCTGGATTGGAACAGCACGGCTGTCATACCAGGCGAAACCCTTCACTTGCTGAAGACTATTCTCCTAAAGGTGTGTGAATCATAGTTAATGATGGAAATAATCAGTTAAGGAGAAGGTTACCTATTAATACACCAAAGATCATAGAGAGGATGTTTGCCATTGTTACCTAGTTTGAAAGGTCACTGACCCACGGAATGATCAATTAATACTAATCCATCTTAAGTAACAAGCTACACTTGTTCCACTGCTGGACCCAGTCACTAAAACAGGGAGAATTCAACTGCACAATCCAATTCATTTTAGCTTTCACACTAATCACAATCGCAACATTAATCGCAATTGACATTGTGATTAGTGTTAGCAAGTATCAAACTTGATTTTTCTTATTATGTCATGCTCCCTACTATAGAGAGCTCCAAAGTGGGCTGTCATATTTGATAATAATTAATCTTCCTTAGCCTGAAAAGGTCCACTAATTATACTTGGCAAAACAATAGATGATCTCAAACAAAATATACTGTTTCCCCCCAAAAACATTCAATGAAATTAAAAAAAAATTAAAAAATATTTACAAACAATTCATTACAAAAAAAAATTTACATGATCCTAAAAAACTAGCAAAAAAGCACCTTTTTCAATTTGTTATTTATCATATAAAAACCGTAATTGTACATTCATCTGGTATTTCCTATTCACGCCTCTTACTTCTCTTATTTACTTCCTCGTACACGGAATGATAATGAGCTAATGGATTCTCTTACACGCCACCAGAAATTTTAGAAGACACGACGAGAAATTATAAAAGATAAATTATAGAAGATAAATTATCAATGGCTTACATTTATAAATTTTTTTTCTTATCTCAAATTTGCGAAGACGGTTCAGAATAAGTAATATAGGCGAATGGAGAAGAAAATTTAATATAAAAAATCTCACACATTCTGTCCTTAATTTTTTATATAATTTAGCTGATAGTTGCGAATTAGATTTTAACATCTTTAATATAATGAATTTCCACGAAGTAACGCCTGATTCTATTAATTAAATCAAAATGCTGATACGTGGTCACCCCTGAGGACAAAAGGAATGCCTCATTTCTAGTAAAAAGGGTCTCCAATTTTCTACACTCATCATATGAAAACACAACCTCACCAACCACAAACAGTCCTACCCTGGTCGAGCCGATCCATTCTTGCTACAACCATAATATAGCTGCAGCATAGTATACCACATATAAGTGACTAGTTATTTAAAACAGAGTTTTTGGTATTTAAAATGTTATTTAAAAACAAAAAGAGGTTTGATTCTGTCTCTAATGTTATTATGTATGTAATATTATTTTCCAGTGGGATGTGAAAGTTCATTATGCCCGTCCACCGTTAGCACTATACGGTGGCTATGAAGATTGGCTCTTGAAGTATCCAGCGTTCACCACTAACCCACACGCTGTTCCGCCCAGTCAAGACAGCATGCTGGATGATATGTTGGGTAAGTTGTCCCTCGGATTTACAATTTAAAATTAAAATTGAACAACGAATGGGTTGACTGCACCGGCGTAAGACCAAGCTGTCACAATATCAGCGTAAAACAGCAACGGAAATCTGCTGCATTTCCTATGTTGAGTGTAGAGATCCTTTTTGCTAGAAACGAGGCGTTTCATCTCATAGTCCTCAGTTGTGTCAGACAAATAATTTGATTCTTAATCGAAAATAAATGTATATGTCTATGAGCCACAGTATTCTTGTTTGTCACCTTTATTCTATAAAAATATATATAAAGTAACAACTTTTTTTTTGGCTCACCTGATGTTAATTGACTACCACCGCCCATGATCAATCGCAACACCAGGGGAATCGCAGGTGCGTTGCCGGCCCTTTAGAAAGGAGTAAGCTCTTTTCTTGAAGGTCCCCAGGTCGTATCGGTCCGGAAAAATCGCCGGTGGTACACTATTCCACAGAGAGGTTGTACGCGGAAGAAAACTCCTTTTGAAACGTACAGCGGTAGACCGCCAAACATCCGGATGGTGTGGATGGTATCGAGACGTTTGCCGCATAGTGCGTTCACGAAATTTGGCGGCTGGGATTAATCCGAATAATTGACTCCATGGCATAGTGGTTTAGCAATGAGTGGCTGCGCTGGGAGTCGCGGGTTCGAATCCCACACGGAACAAGTATTTGTATGGCCTACAAGTGTGCAATTTATGTTTGTAAACTGCCCCCACGATACAGGAGAAAATCCTAGTGTATGGGGGGTAACGTTTTTTAAAAGAAAAAATAAAGAAAAATAAAAAAATCCTCAGAGCACTCTCCATGGTATATGCGAAAGAAAATGCAAAGAGATGCAACATCTCTTCGCAGCGCCAGTGAATCGAGCTGATTGGAAAGCACTCGGTCATCGACGATTCGAGCCGCTCTGCGCTGGATGCGGTCAAGTGGAAGGAGCTGGTACTGGGGAGCCCCAGCCCAGAGATGGGAACAGTATTCCATGTGCGGCCGAACCTGCGCCTTGTAAAGTTGCAGGCGGTGTGTCGGCATGAAATACTGTCCCGCTCTGCTGAGCACGCCAAGCTTTTTAGAGGCCAGTTTGGCCTTCTCTTCCAAGTGACCACGAAACTGCACGTCACTCGATATGTCGACGCCGAGGATTCCGATACTGGCTGAGGCAACAAGGGGAGTGCCTTAAAACTGAGGAGATATGACAAAGGGGTTCTTTTGCGTCTTCTGGGGGTTAAACTGGACTAGATTTAGTCGCCCCCAGTCCGAGACTTTGTTCAACAAAGTTTCAACTTCAGACACAAGTTTGTGCCGGTACTAAGCGACATTTTTCGAGAAATATTGGCACGACCGGTGTATAAAGCATCACCGGTGCTGTCGTTTGCATAGCAATGAATGTTACGGGTTTGCAACATATCATTGATATGCAGAAGAAACAGCGTTGGCGATAGCACGCAGCCTTGTGGAACACCAGCATTAATAGGCTTGCAATCAGAGCTTGCACCGTCTACAACGACCTTGATGCTCCGATCTGCAGGAAAGCTGGTGATCCAATTGCACAATTTCTCGGGAAGCCCATAGGAAGGGAGCTTCGAAAGAAGCACTTTGTGCCAAACCCGATCAAGGCCTTCGCATGTCCAAACTAACGGCCAATGCTTCCCCCTTGGATTCTACTGAATCCGCCCATCTGTGAGTTAGGTAGTCCAGAAGATCACCAGCTGACCGACCACGGCGAAAACCGTATTGGCGATCACTAATCAACTGCTTTTTCTCAAGGTACCTCATGAGCTGGCAGTTTACAATGGATTCCATTGTTTTGGAGAACAAGGAAGTGATGGCGATGGGCCTAAGCGGTCGCCTTTATCAGGGATCGGGTGGAGTTTCCATTTTGGGACTACGCTAGAGAGTAGAACTACCGGAAAAGACGCGTTATAACCGGTGCCAACTCTGGAGCACACGTCCTCAGCACAATTGGGGGGGATTCCGTCAGGCCCACTCGACTGGTGGATGTCCAGGGAGAGGAGTGCTTTGCGAACCGAGCACTGTGTGAACTGCACTTCCGGCGTGGAGCACTCACACCGCGGGATGGTCGGCGGCGTACTACCCCCGTCATCGAGAGTCGAGTTGGACGCAAAAAAAGAGCCTAGCAGATCGGCTTTCTCCTTTGCGGTATGGGCCAGTGAGTCGTCCTCCCTGTGCAGAGATGGAAAAGATGGCTGACAGAAATTCCCTTGGACAGCCGTGGCGAGAGACCAGAATGCACGGGTTCCAGGAAGGCGAACTAGTTTCTCGCAATTCTGCCTATGTGCTCAGATTTGCCTTGGCAATGACTCTTTTGAAGGACCTAGAGGCGGCTATTATACTTCTCTTTTAGAGCGCTGGTGTTTACATCCCGGGACGTTGATGCGTCAGCCCAGGCTTGGTAGCACTCCTGCTTATAGTATGATGCAATTTTACAGGAGCGACCAAACCATGGCTGAGATTTGCCTCCAATGGGCACCACAGAGGAAGGAATAAAAAGTTCCATACTCTGAAGTACCACATTAGCGACAGAATCCGCAACAACGTTGGGATCGTCCGGCGAGAAGCAGACCCGCCCCCAAGGGTAGGATGCAAAGAAAGACCGCTTCCCATCCCAATCGGCTGACCTATAGTGCCAAACACGGCGGCAGCCTGCAGAATGCAACTGCGATTTTTGCGTGAGTGCACCACACCTGGACAAGAACTATTGTCTTGTCCGGGTGTGGTGCGACTCACGCTGAAATCGCAGTTGGGAGGAGCCTAAAGGGTCGTCGACGGAAATTTGATATCCGTCTGGGTGAGAGGTCAGCGGAAGGTCCAACAGGGAAGGTGCATGACCCTCCACATCTGGAATCCGCCAAGGTGAAGTAACCTGTTGTGTCAGACCATATGCCAAGGCAAAATCATGAACAGATCTCCCATCATGATCGGTTAAACGTGAACCAAGCCATTCGGCGTTATGGGCGTTAAAGTCGCCGAGGATCACGATATCTGCGGAGGGGATCTGCTGTAGCAACTAATCTGTAGCCATTTGGACGTGGTCGAAGAGTCGGTCTGTTTCGGTATTTCCGCTATGGGACCTATAGAGGCACCCGTAGACGCGCGGACGGTCGTCGCTGTCTACGCGTAGCCAAAGGGTGGACAGGTCCGAACCTTCAAGTCTGCCGAGGCGTCGAGAACACATGTCCTCTCTGACGTAAACGTAAACTCCATCCCGAGGCACAAAGGAGTGTTCCAGTTTGTACCCCGGGTAGAAGAGATACGAGACATCAGCCGGAGAGAACACCTGCGTCTCGGTCAGAAAGAACAGAGGCGGCCTCGCTGTCTCGAGATGGTAGTGGACGGCGTTTAGGTTATAGTGAACAAGTCGCATATTGCGGAAATTCACGGATAGCGTGGCAGGGGTTGCCTTGGTCTTGTTGCTCCGCTTGCCCCGAGCAGTTGTAGTCTTGAGTGGAATTTTGCTCCCCCCCCCCCAGAATACGCGGGGCAGCCTGAGCACCCACGCTCAGAAGTGGTGAATCATGGTCGTGGATGCTCAGCGAGGGATTCTCCAGGGGTGCTGGTACCCTCCTGGGGTAGTCTATCATCATTTAATTCCGCTACCATTTTGATGGGGGGGGAGGGATTTGGGCCTCCGGCCACCTGCACTCGCCAGACGAAACGCGGAAGCAGAACTTCCACTTCACGCCGGTATTCTGTGAGGTCGTGGTACCACCCCGGTTTGAACCGGCCCATACGTGCAACAGCAAAGCTGCCGCATGGCTCTACCACTGTTAAAAGGTTCAACTTTGAACTAATCAGTCTCTATGACCCTTTCCCATATATTGTACAAAGATGTCAAGCTACTTTTTTTATAGAATAGGATGACAAACGAGCACACAGTCCACCTGATGGTGATGATTAAGAATCAAAATGTAGATGCGTTGTCACCCGTGAGGACTAACATAGAATGCTTCGCTTCCAGTAAAAAAGGTCGCTGGGTCACTACACTAACCATACGAAATACAGCAGTAGTTAGCTGCTATTTTATGTTTGTATTTTGTGAGAGGCACTTTTATAGGGGTGGTGTATGTGGTGAGGAGGATTTGCTACAATTGTCACACTCATAATCACGTCCCTCTGTGGATACTCCCTATCTCCATTCTAGATATTTTAAATCTAATCATATACATGTACCATATTTCCATCTATAGTTCTTGGCTTTACTTGAGGTTAACACGTATTTGTATATGTGTCATAGTGTGCATAAGATCAAACTCCGTCAGAGAAGCAGACTATATAAATAATGTCCATGTACATGTTCAACGGAAAAAAGTCCGCTTGACTTCTCCTTCTTTTTGTGGCGGTTTGGTAAAATTCGCCAATGACATATTGAATGGAAAATGAAAGCTTATGACTTTAATTAAAATAAGAGTCTATGATAATAAAAGGATTTCGTTTTCCTCCTAGAATTTTGACAAATCTATCTGTTGAGTTATCTGCTCAACTTTGTGAACTGCAATTACTATAATAGATGTCAAAATATCTTTTTGAACTCTTCCATAGTTGTGTGGCTGAAGCTTCGGCTTCGACATAGGCCACCTTTTTTCTTTTTTTTATAGGATAGGGTGACAAACGAGTACACAGTCCACATGATGGTAAGTGGTTGCTGTGGCCCATAGACATACTACATCTATCCTCGATTACGAATCAAAATGCAGGTGCGTTGTCACCCGTGAGGCCTAAGATGGAATGCCTCGTTTCCAGTAAAAAGGGTCTCCGATTCTCTACGCTCACCATACGAAACACAGCAGCATTGCGCTGCTATTTTACGTTGGTATTATGTGAGAGCGTGGTCGTTCCCTGGTCGAGCCGACCTATTCGTGCTATAACTACACTACTAATGATATAACTGCAGCATGGCTCTACTAATATGGACTGAAGTATTGGGCGAAACCGAAGGTTTCTAGCAAACGCCGAAACTGAAAGAACTGTTACGAATAAGCGAGAGTGCGATAGGCGTGGCGAAGCAACTTTTTCATCCCTAGATAAACTTTTAGAGATGGTTCAAATTACCTTATAAGTATTAAATTTGTTACTTATTACAATCATATTATTAACTTAGCGTCAACTGATTTTTAGGCTTCGGCCAAAAATTGACCTTCGGCCACTCACGAGACATAATGCGATGATGGGTTCTTGTATGTTGCCAAAACATAGCTAACTTAAGATATGCCATTATATAACATAATCAAAATATAAAAATTAGGCGAGATCGACTATCCGAACTGGTCGGACCTGAACCCGTCCCCCCCGCCGGTGCAGACAACGCCGCCTCGACCCGCCAAGCCCGGGGAACCCGTAATTGACCGCAGCAGTAAGGTAATTATTACTTTTAGTTCAATTTCGCAAAATAAATTATGTTTAACTTTCGCGTTTTTTATGTCTGTCTGTAGTGCGATTGTGTAACTCTGGTGGAGATCGTGGTTAGCGCTGCTTTAACTGACTGCCCTGGAGGGTAATGTTTTTTGAATGTATTTATTATGTCTATCCATCCATAGCATAATAAATCCATGCATATCCAGACATGCAGGAAGTTGATGGATGCAAGTGGTGCAGGACCGTGCTTTGTTTGTGGCATTCCTATGGGGAGACCTATGTTCAGCAGTGGACTTGTGAAGGGCTGTAATGATGATGATGATGATCCATCTATTACAGCCTATAAAAGTCCACTGCTGAATATATAAGCGTTCCCTAAAGATTGCCTCATTGTAAGGATTTTGCCATAGTTGCCACGCTTCGAAGGTGGGTTGGCTACCGCAGTTTTTTTTTTGTTTTCCTCTGTCGCCTCTTACAGACACCCACATGACGATATGACGATAAAAATGTATGAAAATTTATATCTTTGGCATGCTCTGCAGTTGAAACTGCTCGATGGATCTATATATTATGTGTCTTCAGATTACTCTTAGTTGTGAAAGTGACATTTGACACAGTGACAAGTATATAATTTTTTTTCTGTTAGTACATTAACCTTTTTTGTCTCTTGTATTTTTTTAAAATTACCGTCTTAACCATAAGGTTTGTGAGGTTTGTTGTTTAAGTTTTGTTACTTACGTTGAATGGTGTGAATCAGTTTTTAAACCGAAGCCTTTTAAAAAATATATTAACATATTTTAGGTTACAAAGTTTTATCATAATGTAAACATAACGCAGTTGCGAAGTAATGCCCACATTAGTTACACGATCATACCGTAAAAACAAAAAAATATTTTTCAAAATTGAATTTATTTTTTCCTGAAAAGTTAAAGAATAATGTGTAACGTTGAAAAAGATTCAGATTGCATGCGTAATTGCGATGCGAATGTACGTGAATGCTTGTGTGATTGCGTGTTTGCGTGCGTGAGAGTTTTGTAAATAACAAATGAATTATATTTTTATCGTTTATTAGACACGTGCTCCTACCAACTTTTTATAACAAAGCATTTTGGCTTAAGAATAAATTAATAACTTCTTAACTATTTCGGTGAATGTGTCGGATCGACCACGGAGACCACGCTCACACAAAGAAACAGCGTAAAATAGCATCATTAAATGCTGTTTCGTATGGTGAGTGTAAAGAACTGGTGACCCTTTTTACTGGAAACAAGGCAATTCCTTTTTAGTCTTCAGGGGTGACAACGTGCATTATTGAGGATAGATGTAGATGTCTTAGGTCACGTCAACTTACCATCGGGTGGACTGTGTACTTCTTTTCACTCATTTTACAAAATTCTATTAAAAAATCCGATCTGGGGATATAGAGAGCTAATATAATTATAGGTCGTGAGGTATTCTATCTTAATCCTTAAAGGTGACGGACGATGCTTTAGACTCATTTTACAATTTTTTATAAAAAATAAATAAAATAATTGTCATCGCTCAGGTGGCAGCTGTTCAGTTATACGAAGAGCGCGCTCGCAACATGCAGCTCATTCTAGAGGAGCAGGAACGCATCGCCGACACCTCTCTCACTCTAGAAATGCAGAGGATCGAAGCTGAACAGGTACAAAATATGTATTCAACTTTTACCATATCGCGATAAATTACATCATAAGTATGTATCTAGTCGTAGTAAATATGAATGTGATCAAAGGTACCTAATTCTAAAAAAAGCTCTGTTTAAAGTCACATATCGTTTTATATTATTTTGGATTAATTTTTTGTATTATTTTCTGAGATTTCCTGACGCCCACTGCAAGTAACTGTCGTCTTATTTTTTTTCTTATAAGCCAGTGCTTGTTTTCAATTCCACCTGATGGTAAGTGGAAAGCCCTAGATATTAAATCCCGATGTCTTAACGTAACAATTATATTATCTATTACTTACCGGCTACCCTGTATATGTGTGTGTATGTATGTATATATGTATTTGATATTTGAAAAGTGTGAACCATGTAGTAAGTAGTGTATGCATGCCACTACCCCAATATTGTTCCGTGGGTGTGTAAGAGGCGAATAAGAAAAACAAACCAGGAGATGAGCTTCCTAATAACAACCAGAAAATAAAAACTGAGGTTGCCAACCTGCTTGCCAAGCGTGACAATGATGGCAAATGTTCCACTGTGAGGCAATTTATGGGGAGGCCTGTTTTCAGCAGTGGACTTCGATAGGCTGTAGTGGATGGGATGTATTTTGACAAAATTTTACTTTCCATGTTATCTCTATATAGTTGTAGCTCGAATGGGTGGGCTCGTCCGAGGAAGCACCACAATCTCACAGAATACCCGCGTAAAATGGCAGCTTAATGCTGCTGTGTTTCTTATGGTGAGTGTAGAGAAACGAGCTAGAGCTCTCCTATTTTTTTATTTTTTATTTAAAAAAAGAATATTAACAATGCTATAAACATTACTAATATTCCCCTTAATTACTCGTGGTAAGCTTAAATTGCTTATGTTACGAGTGGTTCACTTACAACTAGCGGTTAGTCGAATGGTGGATTCGAACCCACGACCTTTTTGAGTTCGCGGTGCGCGTCCTTTTTTTTTTTTTGCGGATGGAAAATCATCTAATGACGCCTTTCGCTGTGGGTGGAGCGTAAGGGAGTGTCAGACTTTTACTGACTAAAAACCATCCGTGTTCCTTCAGTGCCCTTACGTTCCGGAGCCGCGGTATCTTATTCGAACAGCCCGCAGCCCCGGCAGGCGTCGGCCCTTGCGGGCCCCTTCACGCTTGACAGCTCTTTGGGGCGCGCGTGGAACAAAACGCGCCGTCGACACGGCCTGTCGTCGTTAGACGGACGGACGGCGAGCTACCCATTGCTCGCCGTCCACAGGCCCGCGCCTACGGTGGCCGGGGGCCACGACGTAGCCCCCGACGCCCGGGGCGTCTCCCGCGGCGGCCGGGGAGGAAAGCTGCTACTCTCTCCTTCTCCCGCTCCGCCACCTCCTTCGCTAGCATCACTGCTTCGCAGAAGGTGGTGACGGCATCCCATTCCGTCTCGCTCCGGACCATGGCTACGACCAGGGCCGGACGCGAGAGGTCGCCGCCGCCTATCGCCGCTACGAGGACACGGCGGTGCTCCGCCCAAGCAGGGCACACCTCCACGGTGTGTTCCACCGTGTCCTCCGGTCCATCCTCGCAGTGGGAGCACCTGGGCGTTTCCTCCCGCCCGATTCGGTGCAGGAACCTCCCGAACATACCGTGTCCGGTGCCATTGCCATTAGGCTGTTGTCACTTCAATTTGCCATTGTAGGAAGGATTTGTCTAGCGCCATGTGCACTGTTTGCCTTTGCTGGTCTGTGTATTTTACATGTTGCACACTATCAGAAATATCGTTCCGGAAACACAGATTGTTATTTCCCTTATTATAAGTCACTGTTTGACTATAATCCCACTTGGTTGTATTGTCCACGTACACATAAGTGGAGATGAAGCCCTAAATCAGGGGTGGCGAACCTTTATGTATTAATGTACCATTTCTCGAAAGAAATGCTTAATTAGGTAATAGACGTGCCGTAAAATAATTTATAATAGTACGAAATCAATCTAAACGATTGATTCAAAACTCCTTATTTACTACAAAAACTAAATAATAGTTTTGAATTGAGACATTTATACATTGCAAAATGTATTTTGCAATGTATAAATGTTTCAGTTATACGCGTAATTGAAATTAAAGTAACATTACTGTGACTTCTGTTGTTGCAGATTAGATGACAAATGACTTATATTGGGGTTGTAAAATGATAAATATTGTTATATTTATGAACTTTTAAGCGCAGTTGTGTCAACGAAATTGACTGTTATGGTATGCGTATGAACTATGCATTCCTTGGGGGAGGTGTAGACTTGTGAAGGGATGTAACGACGAGGTTCGCCACCCGTCACGTTCTGTCTCCCAGAGGGGCGAAAAGTGGATTTCGGAAGCCCGTCTGGCTACGCTGAATGTATGTGGAGCAATGAATGATGAGATGGATGAAGTATGCGAAATAATGAATGACAGAGGAATAGATGTGTTATGTGTAAATGAGACGAAACGAAAGGGAAAGGATGCCACTGCACATGGTACATATACCGCGTATTGGTCTGGTGTAGACGAGAACGAACGGGCATGCCAGGGAGTCGGTTTCATCCTTTCAGAAAGAATGGGTCAATGTGTGAAAGAGTATGAATGTGTAAGCTCAAGGCTGCTATGGATACGAATGAAAGTGGGCTTAAAGAAGCTGTTCCTGCTAGGGGTGTACCCCCCAGACATGTCTAAGCCCACTTACATCCGAGAGCAGTTTTGGGACATGGTAAGGATGGTGTTGACAAAATGTAAGGAAAATGAAAATATTATTATGTTAGGAGACTTCAATGGAAGGGTTGGGGTGAAGAGGTCTGGTTATGAAAGGATATTGGGAACGTTTGGTGATGAAAGTATAAATGAGAATGGTGAAGACCTCCTCACCGTATGTGTGGAAAAGAATCTCTTTGTGACGAATACTTTTTTCGTCATAAGAAGATTCATATGTATACATGGGAAAGAGGTGATGATAGAAGCATGATAGATTTCGTAATTGTGGATGAAAGAATGAGGAGCGCAGTCGTAGATACAAGGGTTTACCGGGGGTCCAACGTAGGGACGGATCATTACTTGGTCTTATGTCGAATTAATGGTCTTTTCAAGCGTTGGCGGCATCGGACATCTGTGTCTACCACTGCGTTACAGCGTATAAGAATAGAGAAGTTACAAGATAAAGATGTGAAAGAGAAGTATAAATGCAGACTGAGAGAAAATATTAGGTGTTTGAATGAGTTGTGTATGATTGATTTAGACTTGAATACTGTGTGGAATAATATTAAGAAATGTTTGGTGGATGCAGCCACCGAAGTATGTGGTGTAAGTAAGAGAACAAATGAAAGGAAAAAGAATACGTTGTGGTGGGATGATGAGGTACGGGTGGAAGTTGAATAAAAGAAGAAAGCATGGTTAGATTTACTAGCAACCAAAGCTGGTAATTCTTGTGGTATGAATGATGAGATTGAAAAAAAGGCAGAATTTAGACGTCTAAATAAGAGAGTAAAAGAAGTAGTTGAAAGGAAAAAGAAAGAAAGAACGGATAAAAATGATAGAAAGATATCTGATAATTTCCAGGCTAATATAAAAATGTTCTGGAAACTCGTAAGAACTGCCAGGGGAAATACAAAACGGCCTATGATTAATGCTATAAGAGACGAGAATGGATGTATTCTGAATGATGAAGTTTCGAAATTAAACAGATGGAAGGAATACTTTGAAAGCGTGTTTATGAGTGAAGAGTCGACTGAATTAAATGAACAAGAAATTCCGAAAGAAGTGGAAAGGGGTATGGAGATAAGTGTAGATGAAATAATGAAATCAATGAAAAGCATGAAAGCAGGTAAGGCAGCTGGATATGATAGAGTATCACCCGAGATGCTAAGGGCTGGAGAGGGAGTGGTGGCAGGCCTGCTGTACACCTTGTTTAATTTGTGTTGGGAATTAAAACGGGTACCGGATGACTGGTGTAAAGCAGTTATAGTACCAATATATAAAGGAAAAGGGTCACAGCAGGACTGCAAAAACTACCGTGGTATCAGCTTGCTTAGTATTGTGGGTAAACTGTATGCTAAGGTGTTAATTGAAAGAGTTATGAAAGAAACTGATGGAAAAATTTGGGATGTGAAAGCGGGTTTTCGAAAGGGTATGGGGTGTACAGATCAAGTCTTTTCCATGCGCATGATTGCGGAGAAGTTTTTGGCTAAAAACCAGAAAGTTTTTTGTGCGTTCATGGACTTGGAAAAGGCTTATGACAGAGTGGACAGGAATGTGTTATGGCAAACACTGAACTCATATGGGTTGAGCGCTGGTTTGATATAGGCATTGAGGTCTCTTTATTCTAGTTATTCTAGTGCTTGTGTCAGGATCAATGGGGTCTACTCGGACTGGTTTGGCATCCGAAAAGGTGTCAGACAGGGCTGTGTGGCCTCCCCTTGGCTGTTCAACCGATTTATGGACAGGTGTTTGTAAACTTTGAAAGATGAAGAATGTGGGTTAAGAATGGGCGAGTTAACCGTCAAATGCCTTTTGTATGCCGATGATCAAGTCATATTTGCGTCATCGGCGGCTGAGTTGCAAATGATGGTTACATTAATGAACTGGGCATTAAAAGAAAGGGGAACGAAAGTGAACGCAAGTAAGACGAAAGTGATGGTTTTGAAAGAGAAGAAAACAAAACGGTATTTGAAATAAGAATAGAAGGAGAGTTAATTGAGCAAGTGGATGAGCTTGTGTATTTGGGATGTGTATTTAGCAGGGATGGTAGATATGATAAGGATATAGAACGACGAGTAAATGCAGGGAATAGAGTGAATGGGGCACTACACTCTATTGTGAAGAACCAGAATGTATCGAAAAAGGCACGTACGGTAATTCTTAATGCTGTGTTAGTCCCTACTTTAATGTATGGTAGTGAAAGCTGGGTGTGGCAGAAGAAGCACGAAAGTAGAATAAATGCTGTAGAAATGTGGTCTTTAAGGAGTATGCTAGGGTTGAATCTGAATGACAGGGTGAGAAATTGCGTGATAAGAGATAAATGTGGTATGCAAGATGATGTGACCAGGATTAAGAAAGAAATGTTTCGGTAGTTTGGTCACGTAGAAAGAATGAATGAGGAAAGAGTGACAAAGCAAATTTATATGGCAGATGTGGACGGCAGAGTCGGGAAGGGACGCCCAGAAAAAAGTTTATCGACCAAATTGGCGATATTTTGAAAATGGGCCACGTTAAAAGTACCCTTAACCGACGAGCATGCGTAGATATATGGATGTAAAGGAGGCGAAAGAAGTATGTCAGGATCGTGTCAAATGGAAGTCCGTAGTCTCTGCCTACCCCTCTGGGTGATAGGCGTGAGTGTTTATGAATGTAATGATGATGATGACGAACCGAACTATTCATCATTGGCAATAATAGTAACTAGGATCACTGGCGTTTCTTCGTAATATAATACTTCATAGTGAAGTTTGTAAATGGTGGCGTGCCCAAAATATTGTGTCGTGTGTCATTGGTTCGCCATTCCTGTCCTAGATGGTAAATCATTGGGCTTATTCTCTTTGCCTTGAAGACGTGTGGATTGTAATCGGACGGAAAGGCAGACGTCGGCATATCTTGTGAGAATCAACGCTTGCAAAACACAAGCGTGTCTTTTTACCACTAAAAAAGCCCATTCACCCTGGCTCCTACTTTTCGATATGTATCCGGTTGTGTTTTCTTCGAACCTCATGTAAGGGTAGTTGATTGAGTCCAGGGTCAATGCAACCGCAAAGAAACTAGGTGTCTTTGCAAGAGTGTGGAGGTACTTACGCCAGGATAGCTTCTTACCTTATATAAAGCGCAAGTCCAGTCGTGCGTATTAAGGCGTTAAGAAAAGATTGGTTTCAACCAAATCATGATTACCAGTAAGCATCTTACCACGCATCTCCACTGAGTTCAAAGTTGCTAGGTGGCTTTTTGCAACACCAGCAAATATGGCACACCAGCATTTCATAAACGACCAAGCTTGCGCTTTATATTAAGTAAGAAGCTGCCGCGGCATGAGGCAGAAAATTAAGAGAATCAGAGAAATAGAATTTTTCAAACAGAAAATTTCTTAACGTGTGCGATCGGACTTATACGTCTGATAAAAGTGAGATGATTGTACCGCCATCTAAAGGAATCATAACATTTTTCGGACATTGTCTATATACGCCTCTTACGACACCCACCGGGCGAAACAATGTGATGGATTTTGGGCAAAACAAATGGCGTGGTGAATTCCCTTACCACGCAACCACACAGCACGACAGTGGGGAATGGAGGGAGGGGTGAGGTTTAAAATGATTCGTAAGACGTTGTGATTGTGCGCAGGACTGGGAGAAGGTGCGCGAGCAGCGCGAGCAGGAGCCGCGCGACGAGCTACGCGCGCAGTACCGCCTGCGCGAGCACGAGATCTTGTCGCAGCTCATGCAGCTGGAGAACAAACAGTTCGACATGGTGCGTCTGACACTCATACTCTTACCATTGCACCTGTACGATGAAACGCACATATTTCACAGTTACATATAATGTTTATTATTACATAGCACTTTTATGCGCAATACTCGACGATGTGCATTACAGGCAGTCATATCAAGCAGTTTTTCTTATCATACTAATATCATATCAATAATCATATCATAGCAACCTTTATATCATCTAACAAAGTGTGGGAATTACACCCCCATATTTGTTGGTCCTTCGAGCCGGATATAAACCAGCGATCTATTTAGCAGTTTTTCTTATTATACTAATATATCAATTATCATATCATAGCAACCTTTATATCATCTAACAAAGTGTGGGAATTACACCCCCATATTTGTTGGTCCTTCGAGCCGGATATGAACCAGCGATCTATTTAGCAGTTTTTCTTATGATACTAATATAATCAATTATCATATCATAGCAACCTTTATATCATCTAACAAAGTGTGAGAATTACACCCCATATTTGTTGGTCCTTCGAGCCGCAACCAGCGATCTATGGATATACAGTCCTGTCACTGATCATGCAACTCGAGAACAAGCATATTTGAAGCGACTCTCAAGCTAAATTTTGTTATAATAATTCAGAGTCACATGTAATATACTTTAAAGTTTTCATCTAGAGAAAACATATTCTACCCTACTCTTAATTTTTCAGTTACTAAAATGTAACATGTAGTAGTAGTTGTTGTGAGTATTACGCTCTAAGTTATTAACAAGTGTGTATTTATCGGGGGCCAACTGTGTAAGTCTAACTTCGACCAAAAGGTCGATCTACAGTGCCATCAGCTGGGCAGCAATCCTTAAATTCCGACACATCTCGTAAAAAACACATTCACAAAACACAAAATAATACATCCCTTAAAACCTTAAAACGAGAGTGACAATCAGTGCGAGGTGCCAGTGGTGATATATGAAACTAAGTCGTATTTTTTTCACTGCATACTGTATGAGGAAGTTAAGTCGTTTTGCGAGCCACGCTACAGCTATATTATGATTTTAACCCAAATGGGTTGGTTGGACCGGGGAGGACCGCGCTCTAACAAAATTAAAATAGCAGTGTCATGCTGCTGTGTTTCGTATGGTGAGTGTAGAAAACCAGAGACTTTTTTACTGGAAACGAGGCATTCCATCTTAGTCGTCAAGGGTGACAAGGCATCTGCATTTTGATTCTTGATTGAGGATAAATGTACCATTTACCATCAGGTGGACTGTGTGCTCGTTAGTCACTTTTATACAATTAAAAAAAAAAACCTATAGAGAGGACTATGCTCGAAGTTTTTAATTTAGATATCGTTAATAGTATCATACTAACCGACATATCCTAACTGATCAGTGACCTGTAGTAATAATGGCTCTGCCATATAGCTCGAAGGTCCCTCAGCCAACTGTAATAGAAGGTTATCAATTAGCAGCCTTCTACCAGTAAAAGTATAGGGGAGAGAGGCGTATGTTCAACAGTAGACTTATAATTACAGAAGATGATTCTGAAACATAAATAAATCCTAATTGTTTTACATTCATTTTATGGTTACCAGGAACAAGAAAACCAAAGCCTTAGAGAGCAATTAGAAGAATATCAGAAAAGGGAGCGGGAAGAAGCGGAAAAACTTGTAGAAGCGCTTCGAAAGGCTACGGATGCTGACACACAAGGTCTGTATTTTATAGGAAATATAGGCCCCGCAGAATTTGTTCTGCCCTTTCCGCTAGGTGGCGCGATGAGTTTCACTCAGTATAAATTTAAATATAAAATTTATTAATAGCTCGACCACAGCGCCACCTATCGGGTCCAGGTCGTGTATTTTGTGACTTTCGTTTTTAGTACTAAAACAATATATGATATCTATCTACAATATGTAACGTAATTAACGCACACCCCAATTTTAGTATATTATGTTATAATCATAATACATACACTGAATTTTTAGTTAAACATTTTTATGGCATTGAATAAAACTAAATTTACGGTATTTTTAAATTTTTAAATTTTAAATCGGACCAAAAATTAATATTCAAAAACTGAAGGTAGCCGGGCTAACAATGACATTGGGACGTCAAACATCTCAGTCCCCCCCGTGACCATGGTTGCTGTAAAGCACCCGATACGTCGGGAATTAAAAATAAGTAAAATCAGTTAAATAAACGCGATATAATCCGTAAATTTAGTTTTATTCACTGATTATCAAATTAGTTATGCTAGTTCCGGAAGAATGTTGTGGTCACAGTACAAATCCACGAACGCAAAGACTTTAATGTGCTTGAAATAAAATTCATTTTTCTTTATTTTTATTGAATGACAGAATTAGCAATAATACAAATAAAACTGCACTCTTAAAAGTCTTATTGCCTTAAGTTACGGTTCATTTCAGTTTGTTTTGACTGTACAGATTTAGTGTGACTGTAATTTACGTAGTTTTAATTATTTTTGGGATAAAAATATACCTATATTAAAAATGATAGGAATCGATTCAGTAAACGATTCTGAACAAACTACTTTCTCAAAGTGCGTTAATTATGTTACATGTTGTATATTAAACACAAAAAATGTTTCTACCTATGTTCCGTTATAGACTTTGAAATCATCCAACCGATTTTGATGAATTTTTGTGTGTGTTTGAATGGGTCCCTATTTGGTTTATATTCACATTTGGAGCCGGTAGGTGGCGCTGCGTTCGAGATCCATAAATCAGACGTGTGACGTGGCGGTGTCGCTAGTTGTTAATATAAGTAATTTCGGTCCTTCGATATAAAATTTGTTAATAATTTGACAGCGCCACCAATTGGATCATAATAACAATAATAACTAATTTCGGTCACAGCGGCCAGTCTTAACTGGAGACTAGCCATTTGCGCAGGACAGGTTTATAATCCACGAGTGTATGCGCAAGCACAGGTGCACTCTATTCTCTCACTCTCATGGTCCGATGGGACGGCAAGCCGACACGGTACACACAAAAATCTGTAAGCCGTTTGAAGATCATCACCTTTTTTTTGTTTAGGGCTTTTTAATTTTTAAGTTAAGTAATCTGTCTAGGCCTATGTTCAGTAGTGGGCTTGTGAAGGGCTGTAATGGTGAATGATGAATCTGTCTAGTAGTTCGTCTGGCTAAGTACCATCCCAAGCTGTGGTCACTGCTGTGTTCCGGTCGGAAAGGTATGGAGAACTAGAATATTTACAGGTTGTATAGCTCACAGTATCGTTTTATATTAAACCTGGCTTTTTCAGCGAGGAGGTAACTTAATTAATACCCACCTAGAAAGCTTTACGAGTACGCTTGGGGATAATTTTCATTCCGCTCCTAATGACCTAGTTATGATCTTGGGAAGTTTTATTATGTCGATAATGCCAGGAACTTAGTGACTAGATGCCATTTGGAGCCTGCGGGTGTGTTCAGTTAGAGTCAAGTTCGTTTTTTCGATGCGATTGTAGAATGTAATCTCGACTAATACAATAATGTGCGAAATATCAACGATAGACTGTTAGACTTCGTTTTTTGTAACAATCATAATATAACTGTTACTCCTGACGGACCACCCACTTGTTTCAGAGGATCCCCATCACAGTTCAATCAAGTAATCTGTATCGAGTTAAGTTTAGAAATTCCCAGTTCTCTTTTACAAAAAAAAAAACAAATATTGTTCTATAACGGGGGAAAATATTTCCAAATTACTTCGGCCAAAAATTCTTGATTTTAATTAATTGATGATTGTGTTAATTATTTCTCCATAGATTAACTGATGTTCGTTTTATACATACATATATCATAAAATAATTTCTTGTAACTAACATATATCCTATTTGATACGACTTACCTCTGAATAAGGTTTTAAAAGAAAAATATTTCTTTTTACATATAAAGTATGGCAATCGGTATGATTACGAAATTTATTCATTGCTCAAAGAACGAGGCATAGATTTACAAAGTAAATGTGGTAGGATAAGTCTAGGGATACTGGTGACTGGCTATTTGCAATTTATTGAAGTGAAAACTTCTTTGGAGGCGTTGTACACTTTTTTGTAATGGTAAAAAATGTTAAACTCGCGTCAGGACACGTGACCCTGAGCGAAAATTCGTAAGACGGATGGAGAGAGAGAGAGACAGCCGGCGCGGCGTAGGAGAGGAAGTATTATATACTTATACTCTTTTTGCTGCGCCTCACTCTCTTTCTGCGCCTGCTGTTTCGTTTAGGCGCGAATGTTCGTATGTGATAATTAAAGCAGTTCGTGCAAAATTATTCTCTAATCATTCCAAAATATCAAAAATGAACAACGTTAATATTCCAGTTTTCACTTCTGCCGGCACTCCCGGAGTGCAACCCGTCTTTTTTTTATATTTTCAATCCATTTTCATCATCTATCATCTGCCAGCTGAACCTTTAAAATCAATACCAAAATAGTTTTAGTATACTCGCAAGTGACAGAGATTGAAAAATTGCTTAAAATTACACAGGCCGGTTTTAGAGCTCGACCGACCGTCGGTGCGTACCATCGGTCCTGACGATACGCATAACCGATCGTCAGTTTGTAGCATTCAGTGCTCTCCTGAGCAACGAAACTGGCCGGACTGGTACAGTCACAAACACGTACACGAAATGGACGCGTTTACAAATTGTTTAATTGATGCTTACTATGTTTGTAAACGTATAAGGAACAGAAGACTTTTTTGTGTTTTAACGTAAATATCAGGTTCACCCAATCGCCGACCAAAGAGCACTTCAAGGGAAATTTACTACTTTATATTCATTATTGCGCTAAGATGAAGAAATTTTTTTTAATTACTTAAGAATTTTATAATCAGTGAAATTACAAGACAACTTAAAACAGCGAGGCTTTCGGTGTCGACATATGCTATGTTTGATAAAAAATACTTAAATCACTAACACTACTTAATACCTATAAAATCATACAATATTATTAAAGTTTAGGTTCGATTTTCTTGACGATGATACACGCAACCGTACGGTCGGTGTAGCACCGAACGCGTCAATATGTTTCCATAGCACGTTGGTCGACCGACGGTACGCATGCGGACGCGCGTGACCGATTCTCTTCGTACGCAGTGCGTAGCAATATACGCGTGCGTACGTTCGGTCGAGCACTGTAACGACTTGTGAATGTTCATACAAAAGGCAAGCGCGACCGACATACGTACCGACAATCGGTCGAGCTGTAAAACCGGCCTAAACCAAGGCGCCGCGCCTGATATCATAGCCCCTTGTTTCATTAGACTATGTGTAGACAGTTTTGTTTCGCTTTTATATATTGTTTTGAAGGTGTCTGTAAGTGAAGGTACCGTACCGGCCTCCTGGAAATCTGCATTTGTAACGCCATTGCAGCGGTGACCGATATAATATAAAAATTACTGACCTGTATTTAAATCTTTGCCGAAATATTTGAAAGAATTGTTTACTGTCAGGTATATGCCGCATTACAGTCGTTTTTTTACTACGGAATAACATGGATTTTTAAGACAAATATCAACTGGGTCGCAATCTATTAGTTTTTTATGATAAGACCGCTTACAAATGAACTCAGGAGCATAAGTTGATATCATATTTACTGATTTCTGTAAAGCTTTTGATCATATAGACCACCTGCTGCTCCCCAATCAGCTTTATAAAGCTGGTATACACGGTAACTTAAACAGATGGTTTACGTCGTATATAAATAAAGATCCCAGGTGGTTACAATAAATGGGGTCACGACCAATGAGATATCAATTACTTCTGGTGTGCCTCAAGGTTCTTTGTTAGGGCCTTTGCTATTTGTTATTTTTATTAAGGGCATTACTTTGTGTTTAGAGCACATCAGCAGTCTTATTATACGCATATAACACATTTTTTATGAGCAACAATAAATTCGCTGATTGTGGACCTTTCAATTTTTATTCAAAACAAATTACATTTAAATGTACACAACCATATAAATTTTCCATGCATTATCTCTTACTAAAGATACATCTATGAAAGATTTAAGAGTAATCCAAAATTCTAAGCTTTTGTTTGATAAATACGTCGATTACGCAGTCAAAAAGGCCACCTTATCTCTCGCTTTTATTATAAGATCAACTAGCGATTTTAAATCTATTAAGAAAATTAATTTCTTTGTTTATGTTATTAGTTATATCTTTTATTAGGTTTTTTTTCTATGCATATGTGCGTAGTATCCTTGAGTATGACCCTGTGGCCAGCAATATAACGTGTATATTTCCCTCTTTGAATCTATACAAAAAAGTTTTTGAGATACAAGGTGAGTTGTAGGACTTTTTATCGACATTACGTGCCCGTTGAATGTATTTGTGGTCTTCACCACACATTTTACACAAATTGCCTATTAAACGTATCCTACCTCTAGCAATACCCAAACCTTACACTAATTATCACTGCAATTCTGGACATCAGGTGTCCTCTAACCTTCAGGTGTACTGATGGTACGTAGCTACTCTATTCTCTTTTTTTTTTTCTTTTTTTTTAAACGTTACCCCTACACTAGAATTTTCTCCTGTATCGTGGGGGCAGTTTACAAACATAAATTGCACAAGGACAAACACCAGACCCGGAACTATTAGTTGTAAGCCATACAAATACTTGTTCCGTGCGGGATTCGAACCCGCGACCCCCAGCGCAAACACTCATTACTAAGCCACTGCGCAACGGAGTCGTCAAAAAGGATTCCATGAAGAGCGTGGACCTCGTTTGTAACGTCAGTAAAGAAATGTAAATGTGTGCAGCGGTGGAGGCTGCGGCGCGGCGATCTGCTGTTGAGGCTGCGGCGCGAGAGCTGGCGGCGAGACGTGCGCGCATCGCAGACGTGCGCGCGCAGCACCGCCAGCTCGACCGCCGCCGCGAGGCGCTTGAGCAGCAGCGCAAGCGCAAGCTGGCCGACGCGCGCCGAGCCGCCAAGCCGCAGGTACATACGCAGCACTGTCAGCTCGACCGCCGCCGTGAAGCGCTCGAGCAGCAGCGCAAGTGCAAGCTGGCTGACGCGCGCCGAGCCGCCAAGCCGCAGGTACACACACACAGCACCGCCAGCTCGACCGCCGCCGTGAAGCGCTCGAGCAACAGCGCAAGCGCAAGATGGCCGACGCGTGCCGAGCCGCCAAGCCGCAGGTACACACACACAGCACCGCCAGCTCGACCGCCGCCGTGAAGCGTTCGAGCAACAGCGCAAGCGCAAGCTGGCCGACGCGCGTTGAGCCGCCAAGCAGCAGGTACACACACACACACACACACACACACACACACACACACACACACACACACACACACACACACACACACACACACACACGCACACACACACACGCGCGCGCGCGCACTCACACATACGCGTACACACGCGCGCGTGGTCACACACACGCGTATACACACACACGCACACACACGCACATGCACACGTGAACACACGCGAATATACACGCTTACACACGCGCGTACACAGACATGCGTACACACACGCGTACACACACACACACACACACATACACACGCGCGCGCGTACACACACGCGTACAAACACGCGCGCTTACGTACACACGCGTACACACACACACGCGCATACACACACGCGTACACACACACGCGCGTACACCCACACGCGCGCACACCCACACGCGCGTACACACACACACACACACACACACACACACACACACACACACACACATAGAGATTGCAAAATCCGGATTTTATTGAAATCCGAATTTTTGAATTTTCCTATGATTAAAATCCGGATAATCCGGATTTTTCGAAGTTTTAGGGTGATTTGATAAAACTGAAATAAAACAGCATAAATCATTTAAAATCTGCATTTATTCTGACACGACGGAATAAAATCAACCAAAATAAACAAAAACCGTGTAGTGGCGGTTAAGAATATTCACTACCCCATATCTTCCCGTGGGTGTCGTAAAAGGCCACAGAGTGAAACAGGCAGAAAATGGGCAGCAGCATCTTCCCGATAAAAGTATCAAAAAACTGCAGTTACCAACCCGCTCGCCAAGCGTGGCAACTACGGTAATATACCACCATATATGAGCAACGAAGCAAATAGACGGCCCCAGACCATGGTAACGGCAGGGCAGGGGTGCTAATAATCTCCAGTGGAGGTTCAGTTGCCACCTAAAACGACTCGACCTGACAAATTACAACGCACTCACCCTGAGGACTGACGAGAAGATCCTGGAGCTGGAAGAAGAGATAGACAAGTTGTGTTGGAATATTATAGGATTATCCGAGGTCCAAAGAGAGGGGGAGGACACGGTAATTTTCGAATCCGGCAACTCGTTCTATCACCGAGAGGATGACCATCTGTCCCAAGGAGGTGTTGGATTTATCGTCCACAAGTCTCTCGTTAACAACTTTATAAAGATTGGGAGTGTGTCGACGAGGGTTGTGTACTAATCACCAAACGGGATTCGCTGAAGGTCATACAGGTTTACGCACATACGTCGGCACATCCCGATGAGGAAATGCATGAGTTGAAATGAATTTCTAAAACCATGAATTCCTTCAAAACCCACCATACGGGCGATTTCGAGCGTCGATTCTCGAGTTCCGGTAAGTCTGCAGTCTGTGAACACGTACAGGATCGCCCCCGTCACTACATCAGATTTGATAGACCACAAATCCTCGCTACAGAACACCGATTCCTTCCAAGGATAATTCGCGAGGCTATTGAAATCAAAAAACATCCTAATTTCAATAGAGAAGATGGCTGGGTGCTACCATCTGCTTGGGATCCTATAATAAATAAAATTAAATCCCAACCCAAGCATACAACTGCAAGATTTCAAGATACCATAAGTTCATACTGTATAGATCGGAACAAAAGTTAAATTTTAATCTATGGTAACCGCGGTTAACTATGACATATGGACGTTGAACATCTCAGTCCCGCCCGTGACCATGAGTGCTGTAAAGCGTTCGAAACGTCGGGTATTTAAAAAGTTAAATATACGCGATAAATTCCGTAAAAACTAGTATTATTTCAATGTGTAGTGTTCGCGTAAATATAAGAAATCATTATAATTACAACACATCTTCCCGTCAGGTATACCTCAAAACCTAAAAACGAAACTGTACCAACTATAAACTACATACTATATGCCACATGTACATACTATAAACCAGTGCGTGTTGCCAGTGGTAAGTTATGGATCTGAAACGTGGTCCTTCACTGCTGGCCGTATAAGGACACTCAAGGTCGCTCAGCGGGCTATGGAAAGGGCTATCTATGCTCGGGGTTTCTCTGCGTGATAAACTTAGAAATGAGGATATCCGCAGTAAAACCAGAGTGACCGACATAGCCCAACGGATTAGTAAGTTGAAGTGGCAATGGACCGGCCATATAGCTCGAAGAACCGACAACCGATGGGGAAAAATGGTTCTCAAGTGGCAGCCTCGTAGTGTAAGGCGACCCCCACTAGATGGAGCGACGACGAAGTCGATGGATGCAGGTGGCTCAGGACCGTGCATTCCTTGGGGGAGGGCTATGTTCAGCAGTGGACTTGTGAAGGACTGTAATGATGGTGGTGATGATGAAAGTAAACAACAAAACACATTCATAAACTGAACGTATGAGCGTATTAGAGTAGGTAACACCTACCTATTCGTTAGTTAGAATGAAAATTTGTGAATAAATGTAAAATATAATCTATTAAACTCAATTTTCACTAAAATCCGAAAAAACCGGATATGAATCTTAAAAACCGGATTTATAAAACTCTGGAAAATCCGGATTTTTCAGTTATTTTCGAATTTAGAAGAATCCGGATTGCAATCACTACACACACACACACACACACACACACACACACACACACACACACACACGCACGCACGCACGCACGCACGCACGCACGCACGCACGCACGCACGCACGCACGCACGCACGCACGCACGCACGCACGCACGCACGCACGCACGCACGCACACACACACACACACACACACACACACACACACACACACACACACACACACACGCGCGCGCGCGCGCGCACACACACACACACGCACACACACACACACGCACGCACACACGCACACACACACACACGCACACACACACATGCGTACATACACACACGTACATACTTTTTTAACATTGCAACGTGTGCAACACAGGCACGTTTTTTTATGTTTGTAACCTGTAAAAGTAAACTTTCTAACCTTAATTTCGTTATTCCCTGCTTCTTCTATGTCTAGTTTTAAATTGTATGATAGATTTATATTTATATTCTTTAGTTTCTATAATAACAATTATATTTTGTTTTTCATTCATTAAAACAATAAAATCTGTTAAATAACTTCGGAATATTGGTAAATTTTCCAAATGGCTCAACACATTTTTTTAAAGAGATCCAATAGCAATTTTTAAGACGATTACTATTTTTGTAGGTATCCTGTTATCTAACGGACTCTTTTATATTTTTTTTTGTTGTACTTTCTTACCAACAGGATGACGATGGCGACACATTCATGGAGCCTGTGGAAGACAGTTCCGAAAATCAGGGTCTTAACCGGTCCCAGTCTTCGCCTAACATTGCAAAGGTTCGTACCGTCATTTGTTAGTTTTCTTCAAAAACTGATCCAATCAGTAATTGATAAATAAAAAAAATAAAAAAGTATGAAAAATAAAAGATATAAAAAAAGATATTCTTTAATTTTACGATCTGTTTGCTGAGTTTACATATCAGATTGAGCTAATGTTTATTGATACTGATATACAATGAAAACCCGTAGAAAAATAAGATATGAAATTTTTAATTTAGTTTACATGGGTCTCATGATCGCGGAGAAGTTTTTGGCCAAGAACCAAAAGGTTTTTTATGCGTTTATGGACTTGGAAAAGGCCTATTACAGAGTGGACAGGGATGTGCTATGGCAAACACTGAACGCATTTGGGTTGAGCGCTCGCTTGATACAGGCATTAAAGTCTCTTTATAGGGATTCTAGTGCTTGTGTTAGGATCAATGGGGTCTACTCGGACTGGTTTGGCATCCATAGAGGTATCAGACAGGGCTGTGTGGCTTCCCCGTGGCTGTTCAACCGACTTATGGACAGCTGTTTGGAAAATTTGAAAGTTGAAGAATGCGGATTAAGAATGGGTGAGTTAACCGTCAAATGCCTTTCGATGATCAAGTTATTCTTGCGTCGTCGGCGGCCGAGTTGCAAATGATGGTTACATTAATGTTCATTATCATTATCATTATCATGTTAAGATCATTAAAAGAAAGGGGTATGAAAGTGAACGCAAGTAAGACGAAAGTTATGGTTCTTGAAAGAGAAGAAAGTAAAACGATATGTGAAATAAGAATAGAAGGGGAGTTGATCGAGTTAAGTAGATGAGTTTGTATATTTGGGATGTGTATGTAGCGGGGATGGGAGATATGATAAGGATATAGAACGACGAGTGAACGCAAGAAATAGAGTAAATGGGGCCCTGCACTCACTTTGAGTCAGAATGTGCCAAAAAAGGCGCGTATGGTAATTCACAATGCTGTGTTGGTCCCTACTTTAATGTATGGTAGTGAAAGTTGTGTGTGGCAGAAGAAGCACGAGAGTAGAATAAACGCAGTAGAAATGCGGTCGTTAAGGAGTATGTTAAGGCTGAATTTGAATGACAGGGTGAGAAATTCTGTGATAAGAGAAGAGTGAGTTTTGCAAGATGATGTTGTGACCAAGATTAAGAAAGGAATGCTTCGGTGGTTTGGTCATGTGGAAAGAATGAATGAGGAAAGAGTGAAAAAGCAAATTTATGTTGTAAAAGTGAAAGGCAGAGTCGGAAAGGGACGTTCTAGGCGAAAGTTTATCGACCAAATTGGCGGTATATTTTAAACGGGTCAAATTGGAGTACCCTTAACCGACGAGCATGTATGCGTAGGTATATGGATGTGGAGGAGGCGAGGGAGGTGTGTCAGGATCGTGCCAAATGGAAGTCTGTAGTATCTGCCTACCCCTCGGGTGACAGGCGTGAGTGTTTATCTTATGTTTAGCTTACATTATAGTTATTGCTATTGTAGCTATAATTTAGTCCACTAATAAGGGTCACATAATTAAACTTAAATATGAAACAGAATTACATAATATAGTTTCCATGTGATTTGTTGGTTTGTAACCTCTTGTGTTGCCGCAAGGGAACTCACTATACCATATCATAGAGTGTATGTCGTAAGTGGCGACAAAGGGGAAAAAGCAGGAGATTGATGGTAGTGTTTCTTTGATAGCAAGCGTAGCAGCATTTCACAAGCATGGCGACTTTGGCAAATAATCTATATGGGGTGGGTTATACAATCTATAATTAAGCAATCTATATGGGGTAGGTTAGTGAACTTTTGTTAGGCTGTAATAAAATCGATTAATGGAACCGTTTGCATAAGTAAGAGCGTCCACTGAGTAGCAGTATTATAACTAGTGATCGGATAATCGGATGCATATTTACCTAAAGTATAGGTGTTGGCTATTATGGAATGCACTTTTGTATCGAAAAAAAAGCCCGGGATTTCGAAATCGACATATTTAGTTTTTTTATAGTACTAAATCGGGTGTAGGTATATTTACTTATTTTAACTTTTATATATATATATATATATATATATATAAAACTAGAAATAATAACTTCTTAATTTTTTTATTTAACACCTTCTACTTACTATTCCTCTTACACTCAGTATGCTCATAAATTGATGGGGAGCTTAAAATTACCTTCAAGTAAATACACATTAATGATTATGTATTCCCCCTGTTTTTTTAAAATAAATACCACATGCTATAGACGACGTTTCCTCACCATGATACAGACTATTTTCGCATTCCCGTATTTTCTGAAATCCCGAAATTTATATTTTTATAAATAAAAAGCCGCTTCCATAATTTCCCAGATAAAAATGAACTTTAGGTAAATATGCATCCGATTATCCGATCACTAATTATAACATTGAAGAATTTATGCATGGACCCCTGGAATCACCTCATATCTACCAACTGTTCGCTACCAAGCTATTTCGAATTTGCTTTGCGTAGTTAATTATATTACATTTTATACTTGGTATACATCCTAGAGCTATGCTGCAGCTATCTGCGATGTCTGCAGCGTAGTCCTACCACATGGATCGCTACAACAGCGACCGGCATTCTGGCGCAAAACCTCATCATTACGGTGGCGCGATCATTAGCCACCCCCTTTTGTTTAATCATCGTCGTGTAACAAGTTTGTATTTGTGTGTGATGAGCAGGGATGGGGCGAAGAGGAGGTACCGACTTTCGACCGCGGCACCAAACCCTCCAAGCTGGCGCCAGTCAACGACGAACCCCAGCGCGACTTCCAGCCCGTCTGGGGAGATGTGGTGAGTATTCCTTCCTTCTCACTCTCATTATGCGCATGTTTCCAGGTTCCAGGGATCCAACCAACGTGTACATCGATAAACTGTTTATTTTTTACAATTTCTTCCCTTTGCTATCCGCGCAAATAAAAAATGGGTTTATAAATGGCGTCTAATATATTCAAATCTAGCTTGCACAAGGACCGATGTCTTTACTCACATCTGTTGGTGATAACCACAAAAAATGGCGTCACGTAAGCTTTGTGATAAGCAATTTCTGGTTATAATTTTAGGCTCGGCTAACTAAATATAAATGTTCAATAAACTTTTGTTTTAAATATCAATTTGCTTTATGAAGTACTAATTTAATTTACCAAAAATAAATATTATTTCTTAATTTATGTACATTTCTACTTTATATTCAGTTAATGAATTAGGTAAATAATTAGCTAGTTAATTCCTAATTAACATGACTTTTTAATAAATTTATCACGGTATTTATAATACCGGGTGGCCCATAAGTCCCTTGAAATGTAAAAAAATAATTAAAAAAAACTAATGACATTATGAAAAAGGTTTTTATTTTGTCATAATCCTTTTAAAATGGGAATTATTTTTTGAAAATTACATCATCTAAATGTAATCCGTTACGATCGTGGCACTCCTGTTAGCGACGTTTAAAATTATCCATCACTGCGCGGCAAGTAAGCTCTGTAATGTTTGCCATTTCTCTTTGGATATTTTCTTTCAGGACGTCAATTGTCCGCGGGTTGGTTTCGTACACTTTAGTCTTAAGATAACCCCATAAGAAAAAGTCCATTGGGGTCAGACCTGGACTACGTCGTGGCCAAGGAATATCTCCTCTTCGAGAGATCACTTTATTAGGGAAAGGTTGCTCCATCTTGTTGAAACCAAGTCCGCGTATTGAAGCCTGGAAAATTCTGCAACTCTGGTGTAAAAAAGTCCTGGATCATAGCTACATACCGTTGTGAAGTAACAGTAAGCGCGCGGCCTCTGCCGTCCTCAAAAAAGTAAGGGCCTATAATGCCATGCGCTGACATAGCCGCCCAAACTGTCACTTTAGGGCTATGTAAGGGCTTTTGATGTTTACGATTTGGATTTTCGCAACTCCAGTAGCGACAATTTTGCTTATTGACATGGACGTTGATGTGAAAGTGAGCCTCATCAGAGAATAACACGTTATTAAACGAAGTAAAGCGGTTCAACATTTCATTTGCAAAATTTAGTCTGTGGATAGTGTCAGTATATTTTAATTCCTGTACTATCTGAATCTTGTACGGGTGAAGATGTAAATCTTTCTTTAAAATTCGCTGTAACGATGTTCTGGGTAAGTTTAATGCACTGGAACGCTTACGAGTAGACTGGGTAGGATTTTCACGAATTGAGTGTTTCACTACATCGATGTTTTCTTTCGTCCGTGATGTCCTTGGTCGACCTGACCGTTGTTTATCCAACGTCGAACCACTCTCTTAATAACCCAGTTCTTAATCGTTTGAACACTTGGAATGTCTTTAAAGTTGCGTAAATTCTGATATTCTCGAAATTTACGCGGCGCAATGGTAGCCGAATCATTGTTTCGATAAAACTCGCGCACACAAAATGCACGGTCCGCACCGGTGAAACGCTCCATGGCGACTGAATTCCCAGAAACCGTCGGTACTCCCCCCGCACCGCGCGCGCCACTCATGCGCGCCTTTTGTATTTTATTCGAAATTTACATTTCTAACGACTTATGGGCCACCTTGTATAACAATGTAACTATATTAGCGTCGCTTTCGCTTTATCGTACGTGTTTGCTGACGGAATAGGGTCGGTGAGCCGCCATTTCTCATCCCATTTTTTATCCGCACGCGTAGTAAAGATACAATAAATGCAAAATAGCGGAGAATTTCGACTATATTATAATATCATTTCTAAAATAAATAATAGAATCCGGTGTTATTTTGCGGAATTCAATGTATTAAAGATGTGTAAACTAATTTAAAAAAAAAGAAGAAAGCTACATAACATACAACGACTTAATTTTCGGTCACGATGGCCAATCTCAACGGACGTTTAAGGCCGATAACGAACCTGCAAGCACGGGTGCACTCCTTTCTCTCGCTCTCATAGTCTGACGGGAGGGTAAACCAACACGACCGGAGAGAGATCAAGCGCAAGACCAACGACTTTATGTACTTTCCGAGGCGCGGGTGGGAAACACACAAAAACTCAATAACAGATTTGGGCACGGCGATCACATGCCATCATACTTGGCCAATTCGTATGATACCCGTGTTTGTCTTGAGAGCAACGAACCTTACGCACTCCAAGTACGTGCGCATAGTAAACTATACCGCTTAAATCCGGGCGTAGGCTGTAGGTGTACCCGGTCATTTGGACATAATGCAGCGCGCGCAGACACGTACGTATGCACACAGACAAATGCGCGCGCACACTAACGAGCACCCACCTACACATACGCACTCGGGCACACTCGATTACATTTACGCACACAGACACGCACTTTTGAAAAATTTTATGTGCAAACACACAGGCACATGTAGTTATGTTAATTTACGTTAACCGTAGGTACGCATACGTTTACTTATTCGTTGGGCTATGCTGGTTACTTTGATTCTTCTACGAATATCCTCATTTTAAGAGCAGGGACAGACTAGTCCTAAGTAAACCTCGCGCGTTCTGTCTAGGCCGGGCTGAAGTTAGTCGCACGAGGTGCACAAAATGGTGACAAAAGGAGTGGGAGGGTGGGCGATAGCTAAAACTAGAGATGCGAACACGCTATGGCTACAATTACCACAGATTAAATAATGTTATCTCGATTGTCGTTATTATCGATTACGGTTTTATTTTATTTTATATTTTATTGATAACTTTTTAGAATTGTTGTGATTTGAAACGCGATGAAACGAGAGAGCGGCACTAATAGGAAACAAACAAATAAATATATCTGTAGGGTTTAGCCTGCCAGAGAATTTTCTATTTTTATGGGAAAGCAACGCATGGATGGATGGATGGATGGATAATATAACGTTTAACTGTTAAAATAAACAGTTACAAAATTAAATATATAAGATTAACAATATTGAATAAAATTATCTTATTCAATCCATTCGTAACAGACCATGATTTCGTAACTTACCGATTTATATTAAATTAAGTAGTATTTTACATACTCCCTTGAGAGTCAATAAATTTTTGTTCGATAAATGAGTTGACTTTACCTAGCGAATGAAGTAGATTTTACGCTATTATAAATTACGCGTCACTTTGTTTGTCCGCGATGGACTCCTAAACTACTTAACCTATTTTAATCAAATTTTCACACCGTGTGCAGTTTGGTCCAACTTGAGAGATAGGATGGTTTTTTTTTGCCCATGAGTGACCCACAATTATTATTTTTTTGCGAATTTAAGGATTTTTAATAGGTCATGACAAAGGATCTTCGAAAAGGGCAGAACAACGTCTACCTGGCAAGCTATAGTCAACTAAATCTAAGAAATACCTTTTGACGTTTCACATTAATCATTCCGCAATAACTTTGCACAAGCGTACTCACACGATTTAAAATAACCTTTTACGTAAATCCGAAGAATTATGAAGTTATCTATATTTCATTACAACGTGTATAGTTATTTATCACTTATTTAAATTTGAATTTTTCAAACAAAGGAAAATTTAAAAAAATAACCTGTATTAACTTTTTTTACTTGACGTCGTTTCAATGACATGTCGCTATGAATATTACCGTAGTGTTTGGATGATTAAAATTCATTGTTATGCGAATAATCAGAAAAACATTCAAATAATCGCTTTTTTAACAAATAAAAACGAAAATATGCAAAATGTGACTTAAGTACACAAAGTTCAAAAACTTTATTAAACTAAGTTTGTATAAAAAGGGTTATTTTAATATTAAGGAATTTATGTATGATAATAACCTCTGGGAAGGGTGATCGCTACCAAGCTATTTCTAATTTGTTTTGTGTTGGTAAATGTAACACGCATGATTGTAAGCTCTTATTTTTTTTTAAACTAGTCCCGTTGGGTTTCTTGCTGGTTCTTCTCGGGACAGAGATTTTTTTTTGCAACCAGTGGTAAATGAAAAAGTGACTTTCAATAAGCATTATTCATACTCTATATTGAATAAAAAAGTTTCTGTTTTTGTTTCGAGAGCTTGTGCTGTGTGCTTGTCTTCTTATTTTGTGACTCGGCTTTAACTTTTTAGACTTTTTAACTTTGTAAAGCCACGCTACATCTATATTATATAGTTGTAGCGCGAATGGGTCGGCTCAACCAGGGCAAGACCACGCTCTCACAGAATACCAGCGTAAAATAGCAGCGTAATGCTGATGTGTTTCATATGGTGGGTGTAGAGAACTGGAGACCCTTTTTACTGGAATAGAGGCATTCCATCTTATTCCTTAGGGGTGACAACGCATTTGCATTTTGATTCTTAATTGAGGATAAATGTGTATGTCTATGGGCCATAGCATCCACCATCAGGTGGACTGTGTGCTCGTTTGTCACCCAATAGTATAAAAAAATATTCGTTGAAGCATGTGCCCATGTTACAAAGGATGATTGGGCAAAAGTGATAGAAAAAACAAAAAATTATTATGAATGAATTTGAAAGAGACATTAATTTTGACTGCATTATTGAAAATCAAATAATAATTAATATAAACGACGACAACCCTACTAGTTGTACTGAAAGTGATTGAATAAATTTATTTTTAATCTAGTTACAATCTTAAATTTTTATAACTGGGCCTCTAGAAATAAGCAGTAACAACAAATATCAAGAAACTGATAAATCTTGTGTTTTAGATTATCCGTTTTAAATTTATTCTGGTATTATTCAAACCAAACTGTAAATGATTACCAACTCTAAATAATCGATATCGATTTTTTTAAGAATCGAATATTGTACGTTCCCATTTTTTGGTTGGCATGCTTGGTGCAATAAGTCTGACAGCTGTCAAAATGTATTTCTTAGATTT